AAAATCAATTTAAAAACATGTTAAAATGGTGCACACCCATCATATATTCGTTTATGGTCACATTTCTTTGAGTTGGAATACTCATGCATCCCTTCCATTTGCACGCTAATTGTGTAAACATCCCAACCTTCAGCTACCAGCATTTTAAATATTTAATAATTGAATAATTGCTTACCAACCACAGACAACGTACCTTGTCCTAGAGCATCTGAAGAAGAGGAGTGTCATCGTATTTGAGAAAGAGGAGGGAATTTTCACCACTTTGTTTTTATGTGTTTTCTTATGTATAAACTCCCAGGGCCAAGATGTAACTGGTAGAATCACAAATTCTTATATAGCTTGCTTCTCACTTCTTCCTTCTTAATTATTGTAATTCAGAATAGTAATACTGGTGTAACTTCAGAAGCTTTATGGTATTACTGCTATATTAAGCATTACTGAATATAGCATTAAAGGTTACTACTGTAGTGAGCATTGCTTCAGTGTTATTACTGCAGTATTAAGTGTTGCAGTGTTGTTACCACAGTATTGTGTTTATTGCAGTGTTGTTACTGCAGTACTAAGTGTTGCTGCAGTGTTGTGACTAGAGTATTAGGTGTTGCTAGTGTAAAAAGTAATTACGGCAGTATTAAGTGTTGCTGCAGTGTTGTTGCTGCAGTATTAAGTGTTGTTTGCAGTGTTGTTACTGCAGTATGAAGCAATTGCTGCAATACTGGGTGTTGCTATAGTCTTAAGTGTTACTGCAGTACTAAATACCTGCTGCCGTTATAAAGGGGAACAATCTCTTGCTGGTGATGAAGTCACAGCTCCTGCCTCAAGCATGGAATACTCTGTCTGGGTTAAGTACAGAGCAGAGATTCTGCGCTGTGCTGTGAAAGGTGGCCTGGCACATCTCTGAGGGAGAGGGTTGTCAGCTCACAAATATTCAGAAATTGAAGTGGAAACTGATGCTGTTGTCAGTGTGACCAGCAGGGTGTTTCCACCGCTTCTCTCGGGACGTGTCCCTTTAAGCTGACAGGAGTAAGATGCTTCAGACCAAGGACCATCGGAATGAGGGCACAGCTAAGTCCTCAGTGGAAGCGATTTCCTGGCTGTGTTTGTTTCTACGCTGTTGTCACTTGGCACAGAGGCACTTGCTATGGGTGGGAAGTGTAGACCAGTGCTGACCTCGTGGGTGTCGCTTAGTCTCTCGACCTTCGTGTCTTCGTTTTCTGGGTGGCTCCCAAGGCTCCTCTCTGCGCAGGTCCTGTTGTTCTGGAACGTGATCTGATCCTGCCTCCCTGCAGCTAGCTCAGATGCATGACCACTCGGTAGCCTGCGAGCCATCGAGGTTTGCAGCTGGCATAGAAAGGTTGTATTTTATAGCAGTTTAACCGCCAGTCTTCCTGCCAAGACGTAGATTGTTGGGTGATTCTATCATAACCTGCTCAGCATTCTTGTGTGGCAGTGGTAGATAGTGGATGTTTGTGGTCAGAGACAGCACACACTTAGTTGAAAGCCAGATGCTGATTGAACCAAACCTAAGACAGGCAGGTCCGTGCCAAAGTGTCAGAATTATCAGTTAGCCTCGCTGGTGTGGCTCGGTGAATGGAGTGTCAGCCTGCGGACTGAAGAGTCTGGGTCCGATTCCGGTCAAGGGCATGTATCTCAGCTGCAGGCTCCTCCCCAGCCTGGGCTTCGGTCAGGTATGTGCAGAAGGCAACTAATCAATGTGTTTCTCTCACATAGATGTTCCTCTCTTTCCCTCTCTCTTCTACTCTCCCTTAAAAAAAATATCAGTGGAAAAATATCCTTGGGTGAGGATTAACAAACAAACCAATCAGCCAGAGTGGTCTGAACACTCCTCCCAGATGTGGGATGTGGGGATTTTGAGTGTTTCTTCTATGGCAGTTCCCAGGGCTAAGGAGGGAACAGTCATTGAGGTCAAGGGAGCATGTGAAAAGGTCAGCAATGTAAGGTGCTTTGCAAAACTGATGCTCAGTAGCCAATGGTACAGTGTTTTGTTTTATTTGTTGTCAAGGTTGTGGGCACCTTTAAAAACATTGTTTTTCATACGTTTATTGTCCATTTTTATATCTTCCTTGGAGAAAGGTACAGAGTTCTTAAAGGTAGAGGACCCTGAATTCTAGGCTGAGCAGGAATGACTTTAGGGAGAAAGCAGAATTTGAGATCAGCCAGTGCAGTCATGAGTAGACTTGGAAGGTAGGTGCAGAGACGGGAGTGGGCAACCCCATGAAGGGTGGATGTGGCGTGCACAGCCCTGCAGGTGGATAGGGCAGCACCCCCTCTTCTCGTGGGCAGCGCTTGCCTCAGTCACTGCCCCTCCCCGCAGACATGATGTTCACAGAGCACGGGTTTCGGAGGGTCCGCGCTCCCCACACATGCTCCCAAATTGTCTCCCAAGGCTTTGCTTTGATGTGTTCCTTCCCACTGGTTGCAGAGCCCAGGAAGCGTGCAGATCTGAGCAGATTCCTGAGCCACGTGCTGTTGGACACACACAGTGGAGCCTGTCTTGTGGCCTTGGGTGTGGTTGTCACTTGGAAGTAGGACCAGGCACTGGCAGTCAGTGGGAGTGGATCTGAGAGGGACACACAGGTGTGTGCAGCTTGATTTACAGTTTACTTGACAGACACAGAGGAGCCTGAGCATCAGAGCCTGTGGGCGGTAGAAGCTCTGAAGTTGGAGACCAGCTATTTCCAAGCAGTTGAGCATTGAACCCAGTGATTAACCAAGAGCAGGTGAAATACAGGGGAGTCTTCATGCTTGTGCCCAACCCTTGGCTTGGCAGCCCACCATGCGAGGTCTGAGCAGCATGTGGCCATCTTGACATGTAGGGGAAGCAGTGTCTGTGGGTGAGGAAAGACTACAACCGAACTCCCCACACAGAGCTGGATTCGTGCCACTAAAGAAGGACCCCACTGTCCTGCGGAAGAAGGGCACTGAATAGCATCACTGAAGAGCAGAGTCAGTGATGCCCCCTTCCCCACCGCCTGGGTGATCAGGGTGAAGAGGGCCTGGTGCCCATGCTAGCAAACCACCCTGGGCTGCAGCAGCTCTGATGCAGAAGAGACGCATCTGACAAGGTGTTGACAAGCTGAGAAGACGGAGACAAGCCATGGAGAGGTGACCATAGCCCTAATGACCCGCCGAGTCATGGCAGACCCTGGAGGAGCACAACTGTGGACTCGCTGTTAGAAACCTGACTTGTCACTACGACAGGCACAGAGTGGACACACTGAACAAGGGCTCACTCCTGCCGTCCGTGATTGGCGTGACCTAGACGTGCCTGGTGGTCGGGTGGTAATTCAGCATTGCAGAGTGGCAGGCTGCCAGGAGCCAGTGTTTCCGGGCTGGATAGTCTCCTGAGATTGTGAACTCAGGTGCTCTCCAAAACACATACAAGTCACATAAAGAAACCTCCGAGCGCTGTTCATTCCACGTGAGAAATAACTAGTTTTCCTGGTCTTACATGCTGTAAGAGCGGTGCCTCTGGATGTCAGAGGCCAGCGGCATGGCCTGCATTCTGCTCTCCATCTCCAGCTTCCCACCTCCCACTGCCCCACACACCTGGCCAGGCCATCCTTACACGCAGGTGTGGTGGCGACATCAAATAGTCCCTGTCCCCTACACGGAAGTCCACATCCCACAGCCAGTCCACAGGGTCTGGCCTGCCTCCCTCCCATCCCTACTCCCCTCCCCACGTCATGTACCTCCATGTCCTCTGTCTCCAGAGCTGTTTCTAGTCGAGTTCCTGAAACGGTCTCCCTTCTTAGGCTCATGGCGGTGCCACCTCTGTTTTGCTTGAGATGTTGAGAAATAGCCTCTTCTCCACACATGTGTCTCCTTCAGAGCCATTCCCAGAATCACCCTGGCAGGGCGTCCCTGGCTCCCTGAACTGGCTGCTCTGGTTTTCATGACAGAGCGCCTGTTCGCATAACATCTGTCACGTCGTTGGCTCATCCAACAGCTGTTTGCCGAGTGCCCACCATGCGGCCAGCACGCAGGTGTCGGGGAAAGGTGAGCAGTGGGTCGAAAGCAGTGGGGCTGGCTTGTCCACGTCCCCGGGCACAGGTGCCTGAGGGGCGTCTTGGGTCTCTGAGCCTGAGTCTCCAGTGCTGCTAAGAGCCCACCCAGAGGAGGTGCCTAGACCATGTGCTGGCCAGCAAGACCGAATGCCAATTTCGCCATTGCCAGTCCAGACACAGCTCGAGGCAGGACCCCCTCCCCCCTGAGCTCTGAGTGCGGAGGCCACACGTCTCCGTTTAGACCATGGAGCCTGCCCACAGCCCGCTGTCTTTTCTGTCTCCCCTGCTCCTCCCAGGATAGACATGGGTGTCCAGGAAGAGAGCCGTAACTAGCAACAGCTTTGGAAAACTGCTTTGGGCAAGGAGAGGTGTGAGCCTGCTGGAAAGGTCTCACCCAGGTTTGCACCAATTCCAGCACGATTCCGTGATGACTGCCAGTAATGCAGAGCGAGCTTCGCAGTGCTGGGGGCGGGGCCGGCCTTCTGCATAGCGAGACTTGGGTGCGTGTGGGTCGTTATGTCTAGAGAGTCATCATGTCCTTAAAATATACAAATTCTGAATACATGCAACGCTGTTTCATAGCATGTTTATAGTGTGCGGAACTAATTCTTCTTTTCAGGTGAACATCATTGGATTTGTGTTGTCACAGGGTGGTATTATGCAGCCCCTGGGTTTTATAGGAACCTCGGGCTGGTGTGTGGGTGGTAGTACTGAGGGGCTGGGAAGTCAGACCTGATGTTCATGGTAACCAGACAAACCCAAACCAGGCTTCTTGGTAAGAACTCACCAGCAGATTGTGAGATTGTGGCGTACGCATGAGCGCGGGCATGCCTTTCCTCTGGCCTCTGCGCCATGTGTTCGTGCTAAACTTTGCTCTCCTGATCAAGGACTCCTGAAGCTCTGCTATTCGAAGACAGTAACCAGGTCTCCTCTCCTCCCCTCCCTCCCTCTCTCCCTCTCCCCCCGTCCCAACAGTGTGTATGGCTGCCCCTTGGCTAAAAAAAGGAAAACCCAGGATAAGCAGCCCCAAGAGCCTGCTCCCAAGAGAAAGCCATTCTCGGGGAAGGCAGACAGCTCCTCAGTGGACGAGCGCTACGAGAGCGACGGGTCGGACGACACAGACGAGAAAGAAGAGGACTCGGAGGAGGACTCGGAGGAGGAGGACGAGCCGAGGGAGGACGAGGAGGAGGACCGTGAGGAGGAGGAGGACCTGGAGGAGGAGCTGGAGGACGAGGACGATGAGGACGGGGAGGACGAGGACGACGAGGAGGAGGACGACGACGAGGAGGAGGACGAGGAGGAGGAAAACGGTAACCTTACACCCTAGCAGCTCCTGCGTGGTGACGGGCCGGTTCCACAGCAGGAATTCCTGGTGTTGGTGTTGGTGACACTAGCGATTGCCCCATAACTAGGTCTTTCCTGCCAGTGCTGAGAATAGTGGCCACTTGCCCACCTAACTTCTGTCGTAAAACATCCCCTGACCGGTGTCAGATGTTAGACCCCCTTCACTCCAGTCCTTACTCAGCTTGGTGCTCACAGAGCTGCGAACCCCTCTGTGTGCACTTTGACGAGCTCAGCGCTGCATCCAGGAGGGACGGTCCAGCCTGGTCGCTCTCTTGGCAGTGCTCGGATGCTCAACCAGGAGACGCTGTTATTGGCTAAAATGGGGCTGCTGGGTGCTTAGTCCACATGCTCCTGGGTGGGCGCTGTGGGGCCCCGGGATTGCGACGGGTGGTAGTCTGGCCCGTCAGGTGCCAGGGCCTTTGTTCAGTGCCTATCCTGTTGGGACAGGGAAAGGATAAGCCATCATCGGTGTCCGTGCGGAGAAGCGTGTCCACTCTGAGGCATCGGTGCTAGGGGGACGCACTCTGAGCCCACTTCCCAGGGCAGGGATCAAGGTGGCTCTGCTCTCTCCTGTCTTCTGTAGTTTGCCTCAGAGAAATGCCAGAACATCTTTCAAAGTGAAGGGACATGTTTCCTCATGCTTCTTCCTTGGGCTCAAAGCTGTTCGGGAAACGGAGTTGGGAATGGTTGTTGCTCAGGACCCAGGACGGGGTGAGCCAGGGAGTGAGCAGGCTTCTTGATCGGGAGTGAGGCGGTCATTGATCCTTCGGAGTCACAACAGTTTATTTCGGAAAACCTGAACTTCATGGAACAGTCCAGCTTCTGACAGTGGCTGACAGCCCTTATGCAGACGATTTGCCACTCGTGTTTACAGAGGTGTACTGACATACCTGCCTGTGCATGTACACGATTCATGAATCAAGGTTCCACCTGTAGTCATGCAGAGCATGGGGTGGAGACGCCTGATTAGGGAACAGGGCACACAGTGGATGGAAGCCCCCAGGTCAGCCTCAGCCTTAGGGGAAGCAGTAGCTCTGCAGTAAAACGTGGGCAGCTGGAGAGGAGACCAGTTTGGCAAATTACCTCTGGGCACTGAAATGTGTGTGGTCTGGGATGAAACCATGAGTTGTTGGGGCTGATTCATGGTTTGTAAGAGACCATGGCCTATTGCAGAGGGGTGGACTGTGCTCTTTGTGTTCTTCATACTGTTCGGCAGCAGGGGCCAAACGTTGGGAGTCGTGGTTTCCGTGTGCGATGGTTCGTGTGGGAGAGTTGCATGTGCATCATTGCACCAAAGGTCCCACCAGATCTCAGTGCTTCTCTCCATCTGCTAGAATGAAACTGGCAATTGTAGTTCACTTAGGGTCTTATTTTATTTCTTAATATATTTTTGTAGATTTCAGAGAGGAAGGGAGAGGGAGAGAGACAGAAACATCAGTGATGAGAGAGATCATTGGCTCCCTCCTGCACACCCCAAGTGGGGATGGAGCCTGCAACCCGGGCATGTGCCCTGACAGGGAATCAAACTGTCATCTCCCATAGGTCAATGCTCAACCACTGAGCCATGCCCGCTGGACGGGGTCATCCTAGATAATAAAATCCCAATATGCAAATCAACCAAAAGACAGAACGAACGGTCACTATGATGTGCACTGACCACCTGGGGGCAGACGCTCAACATAGCAGCTGCCTCCTCGTAGTCAGTGTGCTCCCACAGGGGGAACACCTCTCAGCCAGAAGCTGGGCTTGCAGCTGCCTAGCACAGCTGCGGTGGCCCTAAGAAGTCCACCCAGGGGTCCCAGACTACAAGAAGGCAAGGCAGGATTGAGGGACCTCCACCCCCACTGCCCGAATGCCACGCACCAGGCCTCTGGTATTTTAAATAATTACTGTAAGTACAAAATAGACCGTTCTGAAAGAGCAGTCAGCAGTATTGTAATGGCTGTACAATGGGACTCTGTAGGGCTTTTTATTCTGACTTGGAGCATCGCTGTTTGAAAGTTAGATAGCAAATCAAAGCTGATGACTCTCTTCAGAGAGCAAGGATATGGGCATGATGGCTGGTGAGCAGCACCATGAGCAGGCAGCTGCCTGGGCCTCCTGTCAGCCCCTGTGGGCCCGCTCTCAACGGGTACGGGGGTGGCACCTGAAGCTTATTGGGATGTAGGTTCCAGAAAGCAAATTCATAGATAAATAATCAATTTCTGGGTTCCTGGTTTCAGAATTCAAGCTACACATCCTGATCTCCAGGTAAGCACCTTCTAGAATAATCTATGATGTGAACTTTAAGGGACTTGCCTGGAACTACTAAGGGAGGCTTCGTGGTGGAAGGTGTTGCGAGGTTACTGGGTGCTGCTGTGGTGAGAATCCCACTCCCAGTCTCCTTGGCGAGTGTGACCAATCGAGGACTCCCTTTCAGATGCCGCCCCTGCTGTCCCGCATCCCCAGGAACACTCAGGTCACGGGAATGACCAGGGGCTCCCTCCACACCCCTGTGGCTGCCAGTGCTCTGCCGGGATTTCTAGTCCAAGGAAGGTGCCCCTCAGCCCCTTGGAGAAATCACTGCAGAACCTGGTTCCTGAGGTGGTTTCTCCTGGCTTCTCTGTTGTGCTCTTTTCTGCAGGAAGTGGGTATTTATTTTTATTCCAAGGGCCCTCCAGCATTGCAGCCACATAGGAACAAAAGGTTGCTGGCAATGGCCGTCGAGGTGGGCACAGCGGTGGGCACTGCGGGAGGAGGCGGGGGGAAGCAGTGTCCTGTCGGAGCCTCCAGGTGCTGAGGTCAGAGGCGGAGGTTGTGCTTGGTGAGTGCTGGGTCTGGGGTCGTGATTCCCTCCCTGCAGAGCTCCGGTTCTTGTCATCACTTTCCCTCCCAAGAACAAGAGGGAGGAACGTCTCAGTGATTCCGTTCAGGTTACACTGAGTTCACATTTAGTTAATCCAGTGATACATACTGTCCAGCTAGCATGTCATAGGCTGTTTTTTGCATGAAAAATTTTACTTTCAGAATATATTGTAATGGTCTGAGTGGGCAGGTATTAAACAGAAGTTTCCTGGGCATCTGGAGATAAGAAAGTTACTACCCAGGGGTCACAGACTTCTAATAGCAGATTTTGGATTCTTGTGATTTGAGAGATACAGGTTAAGTGGATACTTAATGCCTAGTAAGTTATGGTTCACTTTCATACTCAGCCCACCTTAGATAAAAAGACAGCACCTTAGATAATATGTACATGCGTGTGTACCTTAGGAGTGCACACACACCTGCCCACAGGAGAGGACCCGGAGGAAGAACAGGGCGACCTGCTGTGCAGGCTGAGCACACTTTCTGGTGCTGCCCCACCACACTGTCTGCTTCTGAAACACGTGCAGACGCGGGCACCTCTCTCCTGCTGGCGCTCGGGGCCTCTCAGACACTTGGCTCTGCAGGGCGTGCACGTGGCCATTGGGTTCGATGGGGTGGAACTGGGAGCCTCCTGTCCTACGGGCTCACTGGCCTCAGCACGTTTTCCTCGGGATGCAGGGACCTAAGATGGTGGCACCTTCCCAGGAGTGCATCCAAGGGGCAGTGGAGGGAAGGTGTAGATAGTCATGCTGAGAACCTTTTGAAAGTGGGACAGGGATGCGCTAGGCACGGCACAGCAAGCTGAGTGGGGTCATGTGTGGTGTGGCCTCCACTGGCGTGTACATCACCCAGTGTTCTGTGGCCCTCCCCTCCCCCGCTGCCATCATCGGAAGCACTGGACAGAGCCTGTGCCTCTGGGCCTGCCTGTCCTCACTGCCCACCCACGAGACACTCCTGCACATGAGTCCAGCTGTTTTCGGGCCATTTCCTTCTGCAGGAAGTCAACTCTCTTTGAAACAAATTTAAGACAAAATCCATCCTGTATAAATTTCTCCTCACAGAAATAGTTGTGTTTTTTTAATTGTAAAATGCCCAGGGCATGTTTTCTTTCTAAAGGGCAATGCCCTGGCTGGGGTGACAACGTGCTCTGACAACGTACAAGCAGGGCTGGGTTGTCTGTCAGACGGGGACAGCGTGAAGGCGGTGTGGGTCCCCACGGGGCCTCTGCGTCCCCACGCCCCCTAGCGAGTTGTTTTCATGTTGTCTAGCCACTCATCCTCCGAGGGTTCAGGGACAGGTCCCCGCGGAAGGGGCTGTGAGATGCAGACAGACTGCAATCAGGATGTGTGCTGTCAGCATGAAGGTAGTGAGTCCAAGGCCCCAGCGAAAAGTGGCATACCTAGTGTGCAGATTCCCACTGCAAGGGGCGGAGGCACAGTTGGGAGAAACAATATCGTGACTTTTTATATCTTAGAATTAATCTCTCCCTACACCCATGAAGGCGTGGCTTTAGGGAGGTTCGCACGTGGATGTGGTGAAGTGTGTGGCTGTATGACTTCTAATTGAGTGAAGGCAGTTAGACATTTCTAGATATCAGTGGGTGATAAAAACTTCCTTCATACAAACTAATTTTATATAATCACAAACTATAATTACATCTTATGTCAGACACTTTGATACAAGCCAGAAAGCTTGCTGAGAATATAATGGCTTGTACATTTGAGATGCAAGGAGCAGGCTCAGAACATGGGGTAATCTTTTCTTCGTGATAGGAGAAATCAAAGATGTAGGAGAATAAGTCTCCCACGGCTTCTTCCATTTGCCTCTAAGGTCTGTATGAAGGAATTGCCAGGTTATCTGCCTTGTTTTGTTTTATTCCAGATGCTAGTTTGTCAGCTTTTAGTTTAAAGCCCGAGGACGAGGCTGTCTTCCCGCGCTGAGCAGACTCTTGTCTGGGGCAAGTCCGGGCCCTCCTTCAGCTCCCAACTAAGGACGGGCCCTCCTTCAGCTGCTCCGGGCCCTCCTTCAGCTTCCCAACTAAGGACGGTGACTCTTGCCCTTCAGTCACCTCTTGTCTTGCTCCAAAGCTTGGAGAAGTCGCCCTCCAGACGGTGCTCTTGAGAGGCGAGCAGCTCAGAACTGTGAGGCAGCATTGTAGTGGGGGCTGTGGCGCCGTCTGTTCTCCATGCACTCGCTCCAGCTCCCTGTGAGGCCGTGGTCTGTGCAGCAAATGTATTACGTGTGTTAAAGTTGCATTGACGTGAAAGATGCAGACCATCATTACTGCTCATCTCAAAAAAAATGGGGTGCATTTTCTATGTCCCCACAAGGCTTCTCCTGCTTCTGTGGTTGAGGTGCCTCCCTCAGGCGTACGTTGGGACTGCGTATGTCCTACCCTCGGGAAGATGCTGGTAGGAACGAGCCAGGAGAGGGACCGCTTTTGCAGCAGATGGTTGGTGATGCTCTATGACTAATGCGGCAAAATTGATCTGCTGATGTTTAGACGGATGTGTTAGGTGTTGAGGTGTGTGGGCTAGAGAGGTGTTTTCTGTTATTAACGTGTGGAAGTACAAATCTCCCAAAGGAAGGCCTTCCTGAGGGACCTGCTCCTGGCACAGGGAGTGCCCGCCGGCCGCGTCCCTCCTTCCTTCCGCTCACTAGTGAGCTTCCCACGATCTCTCATGCTGCTGTTTAATCATAGAAGCAAAGAACAGGTGTGACAGTGCAGCTCCCACACCCCGTCTCCGTCTCCGGGCGGGAGGGGCCCAGGTGAAGGCCCCTCACCCCGTCTCCATGCGGTGAGCGCAGAGCGGCTGCGCAGCTGGAGAGGTGCATCCCGGTGGCCTGTCGGAGTCAGACAGGACGTGCTCCAGGTGCAATGTAGCCGTTTAGGTTGTTTTTAACGTGGTTCTTTTCTAAACAGTTTTCTAAATAGTTTTTGAGACTGGATATGACAGTTAGTCACACATTATTTCTCCCTGCTCACCTGAAATCTCCTGAGGCCGTGAGGGTGACTGTTACTGGGCTGCATGTCAGGCAGAGGCTGTGCTGGATGTTGTTCCGAGGCAACAGCCCCTCAGACCTGCTGTTCACAGACTCGTGGTCACTATGGACCTCCTCCCTCCAGTCCTCGGGCCCACTGAGTTCCTGCACAGGATTTCCAATGAGTCAGACTCTGTTTCTGAGTCTTACTGTGGCAATCTTGCTGCTTCTCTCTGCCTCCTGATAAATTACCTCCAAAGTCAGAATCACTCTTCACTCAGCCCAAACCTGTGCTCTGACCCGGGTGCAGAGGAGTGTGCCCACAGTGTGAGTCCTCGGCCCGGGCTTTCCTCGCACTGCCGGAGCGCCCCTGGGAAGCAGACCCTTCAAAAGAGCCGCTGCACACATGTTTACGAGCTGACACCGGGATGCTCGTGGACCCACAAAGCCAGCGCTGATGAGTGTAACGTGGCGAATCTGGTTGGGCTGCAGTAAATAAAGCCAATAAAGAAAAGTCATTCTCAAACTCAGCAGCAGTGAGAAGTTAATGTTTTAAATTTTTTAAGATTAATGAAGGAGGCCAATAGTGAATGTAAGTTGTGAACGGCTCTCGTCGAGCAGTCTGTGTCATCATGCCGACACGCAGGGACCTCAGGTCTGTGGTGTGTAGGGTTGATGGCAATTAGCTTGCGGTCCATGCTGTTCTCGCTAAGCTTCACATTCTAGCCACCACTTTTTTCTTTTCTGTTCTTTTTGTCCTTTTTCTTTCACTTTCTTTGCAGAAGACCATCAAATGAATTGTCACAATAGTCGATTAATGCAAGACCCAGAAAAGGATGATAATAACAATGACGAGTATGACAACTATGATGAGCTGGTGGCCAAGTCCCTGTTGAACCTTGGCAAGATTGCCGAGGACGCGGCGTACCGGGCTCGCACGGAGTCCGAGATGAACAGCAACACCTCCAACAGCCTGGAAGACGACAGCGACAAGAACGAGAGCCTGGGGCGCAAAGGCGAGCTGAGTCTGGACTTGGACAGTGACGTCGTTAGGGAAACAGTGGACTCCCTCAAGCTGCTGGCACAAGGGCACGGGGTGGTGCTGGCGGAGAACATGAGCGACAGGGGCTACGCAGACACCATGCAGCAGCAGGACAGCCGGAACATGAACTATGTGATGCTGGGGAAGCCCCTGAACAACGGGCTGGGGGAGAAGCTGGTGGAGGAGAGCGACGAGGAGGTGTGTCTGAGCAGCCTGGAGTGCCTGCGCAACCAGTGCTTTGACCTGGCCCGCAAGCTGAGCGAGACCAGCCCGCAGGACAGGAACCCGCAGCCCAGCCTCAGCGGCCGCCCACACATCCGGCCAGAGGACGACTTCCCGGGCAGGACGCCGGACAGGAGCTACTCGGACATGATGAACCTGATGAGGCTCGAGGAGCAGCTGAGCCCCAGGTCGAGGACTCTCTCCAGCTGTGCAAAGGAGGATGGGTACCACGAGAGAGACGACGACACGGCCTCTGTCACCTCCGACAGGTCCGAGGAGGTGTTCGACATGACCAAGGGCAACCTGACCCTCCTGGAGAAAGCCATCGCTCTGGAGACGGAGCGGGCCAAGGCCATGCGGGAGAAGATGGCCCTGGAGGCTGGCCGGCGGGACAGCATGAGGTCGTACGAGGAGCAGTCGCCAAGACAGCTGCCCGGGGAGGAGAGAAAGCCCAAGCCCAGCGACAGCCATGTCAAAAAGCCATACTATGGTAAAGGTAATATTTCTACCTACGTAAGTTCCTCGGGAAAACGTGAGCCTGAGCAAAGGCTGTTGATGTGGTCACAATTAAGTGTGCATCACAGTAAACTGTATCTCTAATGCATGTTTCTTAGGGTTGATTCCAGAGTTACATATTGTGATATGGTTCTGAAGAGCAGATAAAACGTCTGAGATATACACAGCGCAGCTCAGTGTCCTATTAGCAGAGCAGATGAATAGCAGGGTGTTTCAGAGGGAAAGGCATGTCTTGGCGCACAAGATAGAAGCTATCAGGATGAGCTGTGATCTTCTACATGAACCACAGTCTGAGTGGCAAGGATTTGTGCAGTCAGTCGGGGTGGAGCGTGCATCTTCTAACCTGGATTTGGTAGGTGACATCACGATTTATAAAATTACCATCGAGTGACAGTTATTGATAAAACCTCCCCCATAGAAAACATCCCTGAGAGAAATTGAACAGCAACAGAATGACCGATAGCGTAAGACAAGGGCAGGCACTGCACATTAATTATCGTAGGTGCTTGGCGGCTGGAGCCATTGGCTATGCAGGGTGTGTGTGTCCCAGGCTGAGATCAATAGCAGTTTCCTCACAGAATCGCTCCCTTCACTGATCTTGTTCAGTGTGGAAACAATTGTGGGGTCATTTTGTCATAAAACACTCAGAGCCTCCTAGTGTGGAAGTGTTAGTGGGTTCTTATTTATGAGGTATATGAGCACATGTTTGCATACATCTCTGTTTAATTACATACATATTAGTCACTGTGTTAATATGTATATTCCAACCTGAGCCATTGACTTCCTGTTCGAGAACAGCTGTGTCTGCTCTCAGAAGGAGGCAGGTCATAGTTGAGCTTCACGTAGAACTTGGGCACTGGGCCAATTTCAGTTAGATGCTTAGACCTCAGGAAGCCACTTATAGAATGAAATTGGTGATTCCTTAAGTCCTTCCCAACCAGCCCAACAGACCCTCTGTGCTCTGTCCTGTTCTGTGCCTTAGAAGCACTGAGCTCCTCCCGTGGATCTGACAGTGAGGTTCAGGAATTTGGTTTGAAAATCAGTTGCTATGTAAATGTCAAAGGATAAGAAAACCTGCTTTTTCTGCTGTGACATAGTGTGTATTCTCCTCTCAATGTGCACGCAACCCAGCCGCACGTGGGCAGCACTACTCCAGGCCCCAGGGCACGGCCTGAGCCAGAGGAAGGCAGCTCCTGACCCAAATCGAGCCCGGTGTCGACTCAGTGATGTGGTGCAGGCAGAGCCTTGGCAGCTGTGGACGTGAGGAAGGGGTTGGGCTCAGGCCACAGAGTGTAGCTCAGCGAAGCCTCGGGCTGGCTTTGGTGCTGTAAAGACAAGACAGGTGGCATGTACGTTGTGACTATAGTGGAGTCTGTTAGAAACTGGTAGATGTTTGAGAACCATCTCAACATTTTAGGAAGAAATAGTGTCTCTGCCATGGGCTTGCTCGGGTGGCCACGCGCCAGGTTCTGATTGAAACGGCTGCAGAGTGGACTGTGGCGGGCTCCGCACAGAGGGCGCAACCAAGTGCCAGGAAGCCGTGGGCACTTTGGGCATCCCTCCTGTGGTTTCCGTGGCTCCTTTAAGCCCAGAGCTTCTGTAGATATTGACTCATTTTGTTTTGTTACAGTTGCTTTGTATGGTTTTTGTTTTTTGTAAGAAATGGAATTCAATGGCTCGCTTCCCCTGAATCAGTGGGGCTAAGGTGGGCACGAACAGTAAAGCTGAGAATTGCTCTCCTCTAGGTGGGGAGTGTGGGACTTGGACTCTCCAGACAAGCTGGAGGGCATGGACCCTGCCTCTGCCCAGCTGTTCAGATCTTCTTCCCCAGTCAGTGTGTCCCCATCGTCCCCAGTTTCTTGTAAAGATGCCACAGTTCTGTCAGAGCCAAATTAATGTGGCCAGGCAGGACCCTGCGTGGGCGAAGAGATGAATGCCCTTGTTTAAAAAGGTAGCTTCTCATCAGCGCGGCCAGGCATCCTCCAGGCAGAGCATCCGCAGTCTGTTCCCGGCTCCTCGCTATTTTATTAAAGAGGAAGGGAACACATGTACCAGTTCTCATGTATACGCAATCTTCTCAAAATGTTGTAAATGATAAACCAGTAACCTTTCCAGAATCCTGAGCTAAGACAAAAGAGGTTCATCCTAAAATGCCTTTGTCTGCTCCCTACGCCTCACTGGACGGGTGCGGGAGTAGGCTGAGCCCGGCACACCGGTCTCCTGGGTGGTGCAGAGAACTGTTGGTTTGCTTGCTTGCTGGGTTGTTTTGTGTTTGCTCCAGTGTTTGCCTTCAAGTCGAATTGGGATTGCACGAGAGAAGGAAGCCAGGGGGGTAGTGTGAGGGCGAGCGGCAGCCCAGCCCGGCTCACACATCGAGAGGAGATTATGCCGTGTCTTCCAGCACCCGAGGCCGTCGGAGCCACACCGTGTCTGCACACCTGAGCTTGACTTCAGAGTGCTTTCAAAATCTGTGCGTGATTTGTTAGGAAATCTTAGGTGTCCTGATGAAAAAGAGACAATTATTAATAATAGTTAAAATTTACACTTTGTCCTTTAAAGTCATTTATGTCTAGGTTATGACCTTAATCAACATTTTCCTATGAAACTGTTACTGTGTGCTTTGGTATTTACATTAATTAATGCATACCGAGTTCGTATGAGATTACACACAAGGCAGTGACATGCTAGGCTTCAGGGTTGCACGTAGGAGACATCCTGCATGACATCTCAATGTTGACATTCCAATAGCCTGTTTTTAGTTTTGTCTTCAGCGACTACGACCCCCAGTAGTTCAGGAAGCAGCAGAGAGAATCACTAGAACGCACCAGCATCAGCGCTGGTTTTACAGAGTACAGGCCCGGCAGAGCCAGTTCCACAGAGCAGTGCACTAGCCAACAAGTAAAGGGTTTCTTATGGAAACAAAGGGTTTAGTTTGGACATCCCTGCGAACCCTTTGTCTAGTTTCCTTCACATGAAGGACTCAAGGAAAAGTCCTTTAGGCTTTTAAAGGTTTTAAGCCAGGGTTTTTTCTTTATATAAAATGAATACTAACCAAAAGTAAAACATGTCTCTCACAGTCATGATTGGTTTGATTAGTAAAATCTATAATAATAAAAGCATAATATGCTAATTAGACTGGTTGACCTTCCAGACAAAGCTGGGGCTGTGAGGGAAGCCTTGGTCCCGGGTGCCTGCCATTGGCCAGAGAGAAGCCCCGGTCCTAGGTGCCAGAGGGAAGCCGGTGCCGGCAGCTGGGGGAAGGAAAGTCTACTCTTGCACGAATTTCATGTACTCCCACACCAACCTCCTACTGTCCCCTCCTCGCCCCTCCCCGGCCAGCTGGCCAGTCCCAATCGGCCCTGAGCAGGACTGGGCGAGACAAACCAGATTGATTATCCCTGATTGCCAGCCAGGCCAAGGGACCCCACCCATGCAAGAATTCATATATGGGGCCTCTAGTAAAAGCACCAAACCCCTGGACCGAGTCATAGTGCTCACTGTCTGTTGATAATCTGCATACCTGGCTTTCAGAAGCAATATTTTGCACACTCATGGTGTTGTTTGGTCTGAGCTTTAACTTAGACTGTTTCTCGAATTATTTTCTGCATGTTTATGCACTGGGTCCATCTGGGCATAGAAGTAAATGTGAGCAGTATGGCTGCATTTCTGCCTCGGGCTCCTCCCCAGCAGCTGCAGAGCCGCTGACCTGCGTGCACGTGTCCCATCCCAGGGCTTCCTCAGTCCCGTGCACGCAGAGGAGCCACCCGGCGCCTGCGGCAGCACTGGGACAGCTCGGAGCGCACGTCCCGTCAGGCGGGTCCCACCTCTGGGGTCATTTGCTTGCAGTGCCTTCTGAGAGTTCAGCTTATTTCAGAAAACCTCTAAATTGACGTGCTCCCTAGCAGTGCTGCAGAGAGTACATTTCAACACCAGCAGACCTGTCCCTTGTGCTGTCTGCAATCAGGCACTCCACAAGACAGCCGTCTGCCAAAGGGTGTCTGATGGCAGGACCCACAGTTGAATTTCACAGCAATTGGGCAACCACCATGGTGTGGCTTTGTTCTCTGAGAAGGTCACTGTCTCATTCCGTTGGTTTCTGTGAGCTTATCATGTAACACACGGGAAACAATCAGAGTGCAGTAGGGAAGTAGTCTTGTCTTCTTTAGCACTGAAAGGAAGGTGTTTTATGATTCGTGATTACACTGTTTAAGGTCAGAAATCACGCCAAGCCAAAGACCTACGCAAAAACCCGATGCCACGGCCGTCTCCCTGCCACCTGCTTTGTCTCTTGACTCATCAAGGTCTCTTCAGAGTGTGAAGTGATCACATGGTCTTCAGTGGGTAAAGGATTCACTCTCTTGACACCTGTTGTCGCTTTTAGATCCCTCGAGAGCAGAAAAGAAAGAGAGCAAGTGTCCAACCCCAGGGTGCGATGGAACTGGCCACGTAACTGGGCTGTACCCGCATCACCGCAGCCTGTCCGGATGCCCGCACAAAGATAGGGTCCCTCCGGAAAGTAAGTCTGCCTCACCGATCCCGCACACACCGACGGCCCCTCTGTCATCTCTTGCCTCTGTCATTTCCATCTGTCCTGACGGGCAGCCCCTCGTGCAAGTGCACACGGGGCCAGCAGGCTCGGGAGCTCACCCTCCAGCGGGCAGCATTTCCCGTGTCCTTCCTGCGGGACTGCCTAGGATGGAGCTGACACCAGGCTTCCTTGGCCCCAGGCAGGCCTGGCCTCCAGGCCGCAGCTCACTCTGACATGCTCTGAGCCTCGGGCAGTCTCCTCACCAGTGCAGAGCTGAGTGCAGATGGTCCCACATCCCTTCCAGCTTGAAGCTGTGGGAGCCTTGAGGAAACCCCTTCTCTGGACCCATTATGCGTAAATGTCCATCAGTGTTTCTATTTGTATTTTACTGCATTTTATTCCAAAAGTCTGTTTCATGTCATAGTTGTCCCACCATTTCCACACAATAAAATCTTAAGTGAGATTAAGATTTAAAATCACAGGTGGTTTTGATCCCACACATTGATTTTAATCAGTTAGGTTCTGAGAATATGCAATAAATTTTTTTAAAAACAACTAAGTTTTTTTAGAACTGAACCAATGTGCACATTTTAATTTTTCTCGCAGCATATGAAGTATTCCAACTATTTTATTTTTTAATATATATTTTTTAATCTCAGAGAGGAAGGGAGAGAGAGAGAGAGAGAGAGAGAGAGAGAGAGAGAGAAACATCAATGATGAGAGAGAATCATTGGTCATCTGCCTTCTGCACACCTCACACTGGGGCTGGAGCCCACAGCTGGGGCATGTGCCCTGACCGGAGTCAAACTGTGACCTCAACTGAACCACGGAGCCCCACTGGCGGGACTAAAAACAGTCAGAAGTGATTGCACAGGGAAATGGCACATTTCAGAAATGACCTTTGAGTCTAAGACCCTGATTGTGAGACTCAGAATCTTTTTCATGGTCTGAGACACAGTTCTAGTGTAGAAAGTGGAATCCATTGGCTGGAGAAGGGACCAGACGACCAGCTGGCTGTGTACAGGGACTTCTGAGGGTGGCCCCATTAAATGGCTGACGTTGAGGTGCTTGAGGCCAATCTGGCAGAACCCGGAGAAGTTCCGGGAGCTGAGACTTAGGACAGGCTGAGCGGGGCATGTTCAGGGAATGTTGTAGAAGCTGTTGGGACCAGTCTTCAGGCGGCTGCTGACAATAATGAAGCCTGCTCCTGCACATGCCCTGTGAGCAGACAAGAGCAGGAGTGGGGACCGCGCTGCCCGTGTGTTACATGAGCAGGGAGACAGCATGTGGCCGAGCAGCTTCCCCCCAGCCGGGCCACCGCGCACGCAGCCCACACCCATCAGACCCTCGGAGCGGGCAGCCCACAGGCAGTGCAGCCCGTTTTTCAGATGAGGAAAACGTGGGCCCGTGCGTCACCTCCTTCCCCGTCAGCACAGGGCCTGGCGCGTGGAAGGCACGCGGTACTTTCATCCCAGCAAGAGCAGGTGCGCTCGCCCGGGTAGATGCCTGAGCGAGATCTGGGTCCACACCCATCTGGATCCGAGACCTGGTCTGATCCGGCCTGGTCCCGACAGGCCTGCGACCTTGAGCACGGCACATGCTCTCTGCACTTGGTTTTCCTCATCTGCAAAACGAAGCATCAGGATGAAGCCCCCGAGCCTTGAGAGAAACAGCCTCTTTACGCCATTTCTCTGAAAGGCACACATTTCACCTTCAGAGCAGAAGACGGGTTTCTCCTCGGGGCTGATAAGCCTCCTGACTCCATGTTCTCCCGGAAGAGTCTCACTGGAGCAGAAACCGGGGCCGTGTCCTGACAGCCGCATATGAAGGCCACACCTGTCAGGCCTGCGCCCTACACAGTGGGAACAGCTTGGCGCTGGCCCACTAATTCCTTCCGACAGGGATTCGCATCATTCCTTAGGATGCCGTGAAATGTACACAGCCACACTCCAGGGGAGTGCACACAGGAGTCTGTCGCCCCAGTTTGCAGCACATTGTGTGAGGAGCAGAGGCCTCTCCACTGAATGAGACCCCGCTCTGTCCTCCCGGGGCCCCCACCTGGCTGAGACAAGGAGCCCACAGGGCACACATGGCCTCTAGGGACAGAGGCCCCAGACACCAGGGTGAGGGCTTCCCCAGGGACATGCAGGCTGCACTGCTGTCCTGCCAGACCGCCTGTGACAGAGAGAACCGCACTTCCTCCGAGCACTGCGAGCGGACACAGGAGCCCGGCTGGAGGAGGCGGAGAGCACAGGAGGCTGGGCAGGCGCGGGAAGCATCCCCGGGGCAGGCTGGCAGGGCTGGAAGAGGGCTCAGGGAGAGGCAGACACTGAGTGAGGCCAGGGCTGGTGCCTCTGGTTACAGCAGTGATAGGTGTCGGGAGCTGGGAAGTAGGGAGACAGTGGCCTGGGTTTGTTTTCTGAAACAGTGAGCTTGGCTGCTGGGAGGGAGGTCTGGAGGCTGGAGAAGGTCAGATGTGCAGCTGCTCCGGGCCTGTGCTCTGGGCCTGTCCTCAGGCGGCGCCGTAGGAACCAGAGAGGAGTGTCCCAGACGGGAGGCTCACAGGAGAGAGGAGGGGCCCGAGGGAGTGCGGATGGGAACAGAGGAGGAGGAGCAGGGGCGAAGGGCAGGCAAAGAGGCCGAGGGGCGGAGAGGATAGTGTTTGCGAAGGGGACTCCTGGAGAAGGAGGAGGACATGAGGATGGCAGGGAAGAGCAGGAGAGAGGGGCTGAGGAGGAGAGGCAGCTGGTCCCCTCTCGAGTGGGGTCTGTGACCACTCAGCAGGAGGTGAGGTGCAGACATGCGTGAAGCTGTTTGCCTCTCCGGGAAATAATATACTGAAAACTGTTGCCACGGAAGGAAAATGTGTTGATTTGAGAGAAGTGGTGTGACGTTCCAGCAGGATGGTCCGGAGAGGAGAGGAAGGAGTGAGTGACAGCGGGGACTGTGTGGCAGAGCACGACCCAGAGGCAGGGAGAGGGCAGGTGGGTGCTGCCTCCTCCGGGCCGGCAGAGACCAGGGAGCGGGCCAGGTCCCGGGAAGACAGGTCCCCGAGGCAGCAGCACAGGCCTCCCATCGATCACTGCAGACTCGGCTGAGACCTGCAGAGGCACACCAGGTTTAAGGAGCTGTCCAGGGAAGTGTGCGGAGTGGCCTCAGTATAAGCTGGCGGTGTGGCACAGCACGGGCACTGCTCACCCTGCAGGAGAGGGAGACTGTTCTGGAAGGAAGGTCTGTAGGAAGCAGTCATGGACTCGTTTGGGCAGACTCTGTTTCTAGGGGCCTTCCATGTGCACCTGCGTTAGGCAGACCTTACTCCGAGGGACGCTCCCACAGCTTCCTGCCGTGTTCTCCGGGAGGGTAGCCTGGTGTGCTGGGCCAGCGACATGGGTCACGTCTCAACTGCCCACCCTCACTTCTCATCCCCACCTGCCTTCCCCACCGCCCAGAGCGTGGCCTGTCCACTGAGGAGCAAGGCTGTGCACACAGCCCGCCCTGGCCACGCGAGGAGCTGAGCATGACCGCTGGCCGCTCCCGGCCACCACAGCGGGCGACCCTGTCCCCTCGCTGGCCTCACGGCCCAGTAGCGCAGCACTGACTATCCCAGCTCACTCCTTGGAAGAAGAATAAAGTGCTCAGTCCTTAGGTGGAAAGCCACCATTTAATTCATTTCATTAAAAATAAGGTTTGGGGTTCCTGTCACCATGGCCGCCAGGCCCTCATGACACTGTGTCTGAGGCAGAGGCGTGTGTTGGAACGGTCTGGTCTGCGTGCTGCTGCCTGGCGATCAGGTGCTCAGTGCTTGTGTGGGATGGGGGGCAGATGGGCCGTGCTGGGGACGTCCTCACATCCCGACCTCCAGCCCCACACGGTGCACCCTGCTCTGCATGCCCCTCAGATGAGCCTTCTCCCCGCTCCCACGTGTTTCCCTGACCATGCCCATCATGATGTCTGCAGGCCGTCAGTCGTACACGAGCCACTTTGTTAAAATGACTGCGTCCTCTTGTTCCTGGACTGTTGCTGTGTTTTAATGCCACGTGTTTTCTCTGCTCTCCCTGTCAAGTTCTTGCCATGCATGAGAATGTTCTCAAGTGTCCTACTCCAGGCTGCACAGGGCGCGGGCATGTAAATAGCAACAGGAACTCTCACCGAAGGTAAGCACCGCCCCTGCCCCTGCCTCAGGGGAGCCCCGGGGGCCCCTCCCTTCCCGCCCCGGCGCCCCTCATCTGGAGGATGGAGACTTGGTCCCATCGCGCTCGGAGTTTGATGCTCGGACCCCTCTGTCACAGAGGGGTTTGTTAATGGTCTCACCTCCTTGTCGTGATGGGGTAAGAGCCCCCGGGAGGCGGCATCCTTGCTGTGACTCTGAGAGGGAGCCGTGAGCACGTACGACTGGAAAGAACAGTGCAGGCTCCTGGTGCCCGTCAGGAGGGAACGCGTCACACCCTCAGACAGGGCAGGACTTGGAACCCAGGACAGAGAGGGCTGCCCGCTCTGCTGGACCCTACCCTGGGGTGGGCAGCAGCCTTCCTGCCCACTGCTGTCTGCTCTGCTCACAGCCACGCTCTTAGCTGAGTGAAGTCCAGTCCTCCTTCCTCCCTTGTTCTGACCCCTCCCCGCTTCCCTCCCACCCCGAGCTGCAGCCCTTCCGTCAGGTGCTCCTTGGCCGTAGGCAGAGCGGTTCCGTTCCCGAGTGTCTGCAGCGTGTCCAGCTCCACACACCCAATATACCTCTGAGTCTCAATGCTGGGCGCTCCCTGCAATGTTTGCTCGTACCACTGGCCAGTGTGGTCACTTGTGTTAAATTATAATGAGTCAGACACATCCCTGCCACCCCCAGGCCTTGGAGTGTGTCCTGGGCGTGTGCTGCAAAAGAGGCAGCAGTGGGAGTAAGGGTCGTGCTGAGTTCACTCGAAGCTGTGTTTACAGACCAGCTCCTCCGTCCGATCTCACCAGCCCCAAGTGCACAGAGGGAGGTCCTCGGTGCCTGTGGGTCGTGGGCTGTGCTATCACACAGACAGCAGACACCGTGGTCTCAAGAAAGACAGACTCCAGAACAAAAGAGCAAGTCTGGGTGGTCCCTGAGAATCCAGCTCCAGAGCCTCTGCCAGAGGCCTCGGGCTGTCCTGCTGTCCCCCCATCTCGCTTCCGGGGCACCAGCCACGCACTGTGGTTGGGGTGCTTGGGGTCAGCCCAGACCTCTGTCTCTGGTGCTAGCCAGAGAGCTGCCCTGCCTGAGCCACTGCCCCGCGGCAGTCCCTCCTCCAGACGCGGGGACGGCCCCTGAAGGCAGCCTGGTCGACGCTGACTGGCTTACACTCTTGAATGAATTGGCTGGCTGGTTGGCCTAAGAAAGCTTCAGGTGCGCTTCACACAAGCACATAGCAGGCAGCCCTCGGCTGGGGGCGAGGGAACCCACTCTCCCGTTCCCACCATCAGAGCACCAGGCATTTTGGGAGATCGCCCCTTCCTGCTAGGATGGGGTTGTGCTGATTAGGGAGGGACGGTGGCTCAGTGGTGGTGATGTGTGGAGCCGTTGGGGAGACAGCTGACGCCTTTCTGTGCTCGCAGCCTCTCTGGATGCCCTATTGCTGCCGCCGAGAAGCTGGCAAAGGCCCAGGAAAAGCACCAGAGCTGCGACGTGTCCAAGTCCAGCCCGGCCTCCGACCGGGTGCTAAGGTACCACTCCGAGGGGGCGGGTCTGCGGTCCGTGCGGGCAGCCCCTGCCAGCTCGGGGCTGTGCAGCAGGCGATGCCCCGCTCAGGGGCAGGGGCAGCTGGAGCTGTGCTGGGAGCGAGACGAAGCACCCCGCACCCCGCAGCCTGTGCAGGCAGGAGATGACACACTCCTGGGCTTCGGTTTCTCCCTGGGAGCTCCTGGCTCTGAGGCTGGGTGGGACTCTCCCAGCTGCTGCTGCCTCAGAGGATCATCCTACTAGGCTGCGAGGCCAGGCACCACGTGCAGGTGGCGGCAGTGTTTCCTTTCCTTCCAGCACGTCCGTGATGGGAGCCCCTCGCCAGCATGGAGGCATCCTGAGTGGGAGCCTGGAGCTGCCCTCCCCCTGTCTTCAGACACCCAGTGCCCAGAGGGCGGACTGACCTGCCCCAGGTCTTCACCCCTAGATAATAAACCGGGAAAGTCCTCAGCATCATCAGGCTTAGCATCAAGTTTAGAAAAGGGAGAGAGAGGAAGAAACCCACACTCCTATCACTCTGTATCAGCTCCCATGTCTGCCTGAAGCACCATGCTAACAGCTGCAGGTACTGCTGCTTAGTCCCAGCTCGCCCCAGGCCAGAGTCAGTGTGTCCACAAGGCCGGAGCCAGGCTGTCTTAGAGCCAGGGAGGGTGACCCACCTCACTGTGAGAGAGAAAAACAGCCCCTCACACTCTCACACGCACTCGCACACACACACACACACACACACACACACACACTCTCAGACTCTCACACACACACTTGCACGTGTAAGCACACACACACTTGCTCACACACATACACACACATATTCATACATACCCACACAACTCACACACACTCCCAGTCTTACCTCTGTTACCTTGTCCTCTGGGACAGATCATGTGGCTGCAGTCACCAGGCAGAGGACACATCACCTTCGTGGTCTGCTGAGTATGGTTCCCAGTGCAGAGGATTCTGCCATAACCCTTCAACTCAATAGGAAAGTTAAATCCTTTGTAAAAGTGGGGAATACTTAAATAAACAAAACTAAGAAAAACCATCTGTGGTCCTGACCTTAGAGAGACCCCTCAGTCAGGCTTGGCATGCATTCTTCTAGACCAGTGGTCAGCAAACTGCGGCTTGAGAGCCACCTGTGGCTCTTTGGCTCCTTGAGTGTGGCTCTTCCACAAAATACCACATGAGGGTGCGCACGTACAGTGCGAGTGAAACTTCGTAGCCCATGTGCAGAAGTTGGTTTTTGGCTCTCAAGAGAAATTCTAATCGTTGGGCTGTTGATATTTGTCTCTGTTGACTAATGAGTTTGCCAACCACTGTTCTAGATCAGTGGTTCTCAACCTTTCTTATGCCTTGGCCCTTTAATACAGTTCCTTATGTTGTGGTGACCCCCAACCATAAAGTTATTTTCGTTGCTACTTCATAACTGTAATTTTGCTGCTGCTAATGAATCATAATGTGAATATCTGTGTTTTCCGATGGTCTGAGGCTCTACAGTAGCGGTTCTCAGCCTGTGTGTCACATGAGGAACTGTATTAAAGGGTGAGGCATTAGAAAGGTTGAGAACCACTGTTCTAGACTGTCCTGTGGGGGTGTTACGGTCTGACATTCCCAGGGTACCTGAAATTCTGTCATCTCACAGAAAGTGAGGCTAGCAACAAGTAAGTGAGGGGCCCCTGAGTGCCCCGCCCACTCACTGTTAACACTGGCAGCACGGGAGCCCCCAAACCTCGGGCTTAGTCCATCTGAGAAGGGATGGCTCTACCAGGGGAGACTGAGGAAAGGCAGAAGGAGAGCAAGGTGAGAGCTCGGCCAGAGCCCACAGGGCCGGCAAGAACCCGGCCTGGCCCTCCGAACCTCACAGGGGAGTCCCTCAGCCCCAAGCCCGTGCTCCCACATGGAGCCCAGGCAGCTAGAGAGGGACAAAGTGCATCCGTGATTACAAACATGACCTGTGCACACACACGCCTCCCTCTGACCTCAGCCTGAAACAGCAGCTTTTGTGCTGTTTCTGTTGCTCCTTCTTTGGGTGGACACAGCGGGGAAGCACAGCAAGCAACAGAGCAAGGCCCAATGCCAGCAGCTGTGTCTCTGCACGCAGCGTTCTTTACGGCCGGGGTGCAGCGGGGAGGGGTGTTAGCACAGGAGGGGGCCATGTGGCCGGGTGCAGGGGGGAGGGGTGTTAACACAGGAGGGGGCCATGTGGCTGGGTGCAGGGGGGAGGGGTGTTAACACAGGAGGGGGCCATGTGGCTGGGTGCAGGGGGGAGGGGTGTTAGCACAGGAGGGGGCCATGTGGCCGGGTGCAGGGGGGAGGGGTGTTAACACAGGAGGGGGCCATGTGGCTGGGTGCAGGGGGGAGGGGTGTTAGCACTGGAGGGGGCCATGTGGCCAGGTGCAGGGGGGAGGGGTGTTAACACAGGAGGTGGCCATGAGGCCAAGCCTCATCTCCAGCTCTATGCCTCACTCCCCCCCTCCCATGTGCACACACAGAGATGCTCAGGTGAGGCCTGTCCCTCTCCATCACCCATGACCTCCCATCATGTCCACACGCAGAGATGCTCCCTCAGCAGGGAGGACAGAGACAAGAAGGAAGGAAAAGAATTTAAACCTACAGTCATTTAAATAAGTCTTTAAATAAATTCCCAGTAGGAATTTAAGACTTGAGTAAATACGTCCAGTCCTGTCCACATTTCTCCTCTCCTCTGCTGGCCCATCCCCCTCCATTCTCTCACCCAGGATTGCCTCTCACTGAGGCCTCTGCCCAGGCTCCTCCTTCCCCGCCAGGCCCCATGGCCTTGCTCACTAGCAAATGAAGAGACTCCCATCTGCCCCAGACACCAGCCTCCTGTGCTTCCCCAAGACTGCCTCACCTTCCCACTTTGTTTCTTCTTTTCTGGGAATGACCTTACCCTCAGGTGTTTACCCATTCTGTAAAGCTAGCTCTAGGGAGGTGGAGCCCAATCTCACAGCCAGAAGTGGCCTCCCTTCCCCAGAATCCCAGCAGCTCTGGGCTCTTAAAATAGTGTGTCACACACACACACACAAACACACACACACAAATAGTAGTGCAGCCCACAAATAAAAGCTGTAGAGATCATTTATGCAGCCACCCTCCACCCTCCACACTACCTGGCAAATGCCTCAGATGACGGGCATTCAGCTTATTGCTCCCTCCTCTTGTTGATTGACAAGTAAATAAGCTAAGTTCCTGAACGCAAAGTGAGCGCCTTAGTGACTTGGTTAACATGGGAGTAGAGCGAAGGGGACAACTTTTCTATCTTAATTTCCAAAAAGAGCTTAAGCATCCACTTATGAGACAGAGAACTAGCGGGACACACACACCACAAAATGGAAGCTTAAGTAATGAAGAATAATTGAAGGCTCCTCCACTTAAATAATTTACCCTAAAATCTAGGAAATTGAATGGCTCCTGGGTAAAAATATGGAAACTGTAGCCTAATATTTGTCAGAATGCATTACTGCATGTTCCCTTCTATCATCCAGATGTACACATTTGTATCCAGTTTCACTCAGCCTGTGGCCCTCTGAGTACTTCTTTCCTGTCCTCCTCTTTCCAAGGGAATGCATCCCTAGCTCCCTGCATTTGAGGGTGACTCTCGCTCTTTGCAGAAGAAACACTTGCAATTCTTCTGTCCCCACACCTATCTTCACCAAGCCCACTGAGACTGAGAGAGAAAGAAAACAGGGAAAGTGACAATTCCGTGTTCATCTTCTTGTTGCCAGAGCTGACGGGCGGCTAGCATATGTGGTGCTGCATAATGACAGCACTGCGGCTTTTCCTCGGGAAAGCAGGATGTGGTTTCTGTGCCAGGTTCAAGGCCCGAGTGCCACTGAGAAACTAGATGCTCAGGCGTTAGCGTGAGCACGTCCCGTCCCCCTATCTCCCCCCCCCCCCCCAGCCCTGAAAAAGCCAGCTGTCGATTGTTTCTTGTTTGCTTACAGGCCAATGTGCTTTGTAAAGCAGCTCGAGATCCCTCACTACGGCTACAGAAACAACGTCCCCACGACCACGCCGCGCTCCAACCTGGCCAAAGAGCTGGAGAAATACTCCAAGACATCGTTTGAGTACAACAGTTACGACAGCCACACGTACGGCAAGCGGGCCATAGCTCCCAAGGTGCAAACCAGGGACATATCCCCCAAAGGATATGATGGTAGGAGGTGCACACTCTTATACATGAGAGTCACGCTTGCCTTGATGATGTTGTTGTTGTGTATATCCATTTCCTACCAGTGCTCGCGCATGTGGTCACTTGCTGGGCACCAAAGAGCAGCACGCCACCCCTGGGCTCCTTCCCCCGAGCCAGAGGTCCATGTGGGGAGCAGGGCCTGCGGGTGTGGACAGAGCCTCAGCTCCTCTGCCCCATGCTGTCACTAAGACCGTGTCCTCACCTCCTAAGAGTCCTTTAATAGGGCCCAACTCAGATAACTGGACGGCCTATAGTAGCGGCCCAAGTCCGTGGCTGTGCTGGGAAGGTCTGGTCCCCCACCCCGCCCCGTGTTCCCAGCCTGGGTGCACAGAGTCGTCCAGTGACTTAGAAGTCTGACGCTCAGGCGGCACCCACTCCTGCCGAACCAGAACCTCAGGCCTTCCCTGTGTGGTGGGACTTAAAGTCACCGCGATTCTTCTGGGCGGCTGAGGGTGGACAGCCTCTGAGGGCGTCCCCACCCTCCCGCAGGCGTGGAGCCTGCTCTGTTCTGTGCTGGGGAGCAGGCCTGGGAGAGCCCCCTGGAGGCCCGGCTTGGTCACGAGCGCACTCAGCCAACATGGCAGGAAAAGCACAGCTCCTGTCCACCCGCGGACTCAGCCGCCGCCAGTGTGACTGGGTCGCATGTATCGTGGTTAGTGGTTGAACAGTGGACGGGAGGACACGTATCCTGGAGTTTCTTTACTTATCTTACCACGATTCTACTCGACATTCCCAAGACACATGCTTAGTTGGCACCTTTTACTAACTGGCATGTGGGCTGCGTAGCTTGTGATGACTCAGAAGTCTCTCCTGGCGCTCTCTGGCGAGGAGGGAGACAGGCTCTAGCATGTGCACGCACCTCTGAGAGGCAGCATTGAAATCACAGCACACAACCAGCTCAGCTGAGTGGCGGGGGTTCTGAAGCCTCATAATTCAATATGGCAGCTACACCTTTTTCCAAGTTATGTCACCGTTCTTTGCCTTAATAACAATTAATTTGTATAGTGAATAGAATATTTCTCTGATGCATCAAATATTGATTATCTTTGCATGTATCAATTCTTAATATATAGGAACAAAGATATAAGTGGGGGAAAGAAAGTGGTTTATGGTGTAATAGAAAATAAGTATTTTTTTATTTTGTAATTTGCCAATTTCAGGTTTTATTATTTCATTCATTTGATTGCAAATGAAGGATCAAAAGAAGTTGAATTCACATAATTAAGGATTCTGTTTATATCATTTCCAATTTTGAGTGACCTGATGAGCACTTTGACTCGTTCATTTTCACCCGTCTCTTGGTCGCTGCTGTTCTCCATGCCTAATCCCTTGCCCCCCTGTCATGGCTGCCTGGGTGAGGGCGTGGCCGGGAGCGCGGGTTGGGTTGCAGCGTCTTCGGAGGGTTGGGAGGCAAACCTGCCTGCCTGTCCTCAGCGCTTCCCTGAGCACCGTGTGCTGCTGGGCTCGTTAGTGCTGTGTGTTCGTGCGCAGTCTTGAGTGAGGCTCCGTCTGTCCTGCTGTGGGAAGACCAGACAGCTCTAGGAGGCACAGCATGCTAGTCCCCCGCATTCTTGCCTGCCCAGAAGGTTCCTGTGTCAGGACCTTAGGCAGAGCCACGCTGTCCAGCCGACCAACAAGAAAACAGGAACAGACAAAAAACTCCATGTGAGGTCCTCAGTGAACTAAGAGGAAAGACACCCGTTAGCATTAAACACTTCCTGAAAGCCAGTGGCCCGTTTCTCTCCCACTAGAGTCTCCTGCCAGGCCTTTTACGTGTGGAGGACAATGCCCGCTGAGGATGAGGGGCTGGGGCTGGCCCAGGCCGGTGGAGTGTGAGCTGAGAGGGGCCCTCCTGCTCCTGGGCATCGGGCATTAGGACCACAGGTGACAGCTCTGCACTCACCTCCAACAGTGCCCCGAGAGCAAGAGGGAAGTGAGCCTGTGGGGGGCCGCCAGTGCAGGAGCAGGAGCAGTGCGCAGATGCAGGTGCCTAGGACACAGGGCCTCTCTCCGTTGGCCAGTCACCGGAGGTCCCACCTGCTGTGACCGAACACTCAGCACGTGGGCGCAGCCTCCTGGTTCTTCAGGCACCAGGCACGTCCTTGTGGTTCTCTGTCTCTGTCCATCTGCCTGTCTCTCTGTCTATCCGTTCATAAATCCATCCGCCATCTACCCATCCTCTCGCCGGTGGGCACGTCCTCAGGAGGCACATGCTTGTTTCCATGGAAGCCCAGGATGGAGCGCACTTGCCTGCTCCTAAAGCAGGTGTCTGTTTCTGGGCCAGGAGGCACTTCCCAGCAGAGCAGGCGCTAGGCGGTCCTGGGGAAGGTGTGGGCTTCGTTTCCATCCCACTTATTTTCAGTACAAATGTCTGTGGCTGCTCTTTTCCCTGCAAGCGTGGCTGGCCGCCTGAGGAGGGCCTGCACCGTGGGGTGTTGGCCCGAGCACAGCTGTGTCACATGTGGGCGTGGCCCTGCAGTCACAGCTCTGTCACCCCATGTACGCTGGCACCTAGGACACGAACACGTCTTTCTCTGCTGGCCAGTGGGAAAGGGACTTGATTGGAAACCACTTTGTTGGCCAAAAAAAAAGCCCTGTGCGTTTTATGGTGAATCGGATACTGCCATCTGACTAGGAGGGGCTCAGGGGGGCAGGGACCACCTGGGAGAGGCCACTCCATCCCACACCCTGCACTCTGCGGTGCCCCCTCGTGTCAGCAGTGTGGTCCCAGGGCACTGTCTCTGGGTTTGTCAGAGCTGAACAGATAATTATTGGGAACAAAGGCCTTCATCACCTGAGAGACTTGCAGTACAGAGACTCTTATTTCATTGGCAGCAAAACAAGAGAAAAAGCCGACGGCATTTAGTGGAAGGATATGCCTGGCCGCCTGGCTTCCTCTCCCCCACAATCCCCACCCACGCAGGGTGTAGGGTCCCAGCAGCCCAGGCCTCCCGGCGGAGCCCAGAGGAGCCGGGTTAAGCACTTGGTGACGGGGACGCCCTTTACCAAGTGGCTGCAGTTTCTAGTAGACACTTGTTGTCCTGCTGCTTTAGAAATTACCACTCATTTCTTAACAAAACTGCCATGCTTATTTGTGTGGAGCACTGTGTTCCTGAGCCAGAGGCTCGCTCTCGTCAGGAAGGAAAGCACATCTTTTACAGATTATTTTATTTCTCTCAGAATTTCTCTAACAAACGTAAGGATGATGTAAAACCACAGACTTCATTCTTGGAGAGAATCCTGGGGTGAGAGTGGCATTGCCACCTCCATGAGCTTTAGGGCAGGTCCTGGTGGCCTCCTGGGACTGTGTCTCTGTGGTCCCTCTGGGCCCAGCCCTGAGCCGCACTGCCCCCCATGCCCTGTGCTGCTGAGATGAGGCACGTTCGCAGGGGACAGAGGGAGGAAGGCCAAGGGCCCGACACCGAGGGTGTGAGGACTGGCTCTCGGCTGAGGCGGCACGGGCAGGATAGGAGTGACTGCCTGAGCCGTGGTGTCTGTGGGCCTGAGAGTGGAATTGGCCCCTGGTCCATGGGGAAAGCTGGCTCTGGAGGCCACTGTGTGTGCAGTGGTCTGGGGCTTTGTGAGGGGTGGCTGCCCGCATCACCCATGGCCAGGGGGAACAGTGAGCAGCGTATGCGATGTCAGGACGGCACGGGCTTTGGTGCAAAGCCAGGAGTCACGGGAGCTTGGTTCTCTCTCCGTTTGATCTGAACGAGGCGCTCTGGGGCACTTCATGGCGTTGCTCACGACCGAGCTTGTTGGCTGTATGGGATTCTTTGTCATTCCGTACAGTTGTGCCGGTTTCTTCCCGCTGGGGAAGCTCTGGTACTGACCCACCAGTGACTGTTGGGGACAACCGAGAGGGCAGGGCAGGCTGCTGCCACAGGGAGCGGGTGGGACACGCAGCACAGCTGGCCCCGTGCATGCACCCCATCACTGCGCCCACGCGGGGGCCCTGAGCTCAGGTGGGAAGAAGGTACGGGACAGGGCGGCTCCCTGGTGGAGGGCTTAGGACACTGAGCGGGGTGCCGGCACCTCAGGTTCACCTCCCAGGAGCCTCATGCCTGCAGTGCTAATGGGCAGTGCTCCTAGCCCTCCAGCAGATGCCTCCGTCCACGGTGCTAGCGGACGTTGGACACTCAGAGGCAGGCTGCTCCCAGGAGCCCGTCCTGCTGGTGGTGAGCCGGCTGCTCAGAAAGACAACCTGTGAGTGACGCTCCGGGCCAGGGGCGAGGCCCTTCCTGTAAGGAGGTGTGTCTGCGCACCCCCGGGCAGTCATGCTCACTCCGCTGGTGCAGTTATCTCGGCTCACCCAAGTCCACGGGGCGCACACCCCCTCGGCCATCACCCTTTCCCCACGGGGCCCTTGGTGAGAATCGCAGGGGGACTGTTCCTGAGGAAGGGGCTGTTCAGCCACGTGTCTGGTCTGCACGTCCAGGCTGAGCGCCGCTCCCCAAAGCGCAGGCCTCACAGGGGGCCCCAGGCGCAGGACAGTGAGCCCACTGGCCACCACAGCCCTCCAGTGGCTTCAGCCAGTCTCCAAAGGGTTGAGAGCCTGGGCCCCCACCCACCCAATGAGCTGAGCGCCTGGGCCCCACCCACCCAGTGAGTTGAGAGCCGGGCCCTCCACCCAGTGAGCTGAGCGCCTGGGCCCCACCCACCCAGTGAGCTGAGCGCCTGGGCCCCCCCACCCAGTGAGCTGAGAGCTGGGCCCCCCACCCAGCCCGGTGAGCTGAGCGCCTGGGCCCCCCACCCAGTGAGCTGAGAGCTGGGCCCCCACCCAGTGAGCTGAGGGCTGGGCCCCCACCCACCCAGTGAGCTGAGAGCCTGGGCCCCCCACCCAGCCCAGTGAACTGAGAGCTGGGCCCCCCACCCAGTGAGCTGATGAGCAGTCCTGCAGGGAGGCTGCCTCCTGGGCCTCAACCAGGAGGGGAGACACCTGGTGACTGAGCCCAGCACGTGTGAGCTGTAAGGCTCGTGCCGGTGCCGCTCGTGGGAGGGCGGGCCCTGAGTGCCCACAGTCCCAGCTGAGCTCACAGCGCGCGTGGGCTCCCAGGAGGCAGGCCAGTGGCTCGCTCCTCGTGAGTCAGCCCTTGGCCCCACCTCCATGTGATGTGTGTCTACGCGCAGGGCTGGGGGTGCGGGTGGCAGGGCGCGTGACCTGGCGGGTACCCGAGTCACCCTGCCCGTGTCTCCCCAGCGAAGCGGTACTGCAAGGACGCCAGCCCCAGCAGCAGCGCCGCTAGCAGCTACGCGCCCAGCAGCGCCAGCAGCCTGAGCTGCGGCGGCGGCAGCAGCGCCAGCAGCACCTGCAGCAAGAGCAGCTTCGACTACACGCACGACATGGAGGCAGCCCACATGGCGGCCACCGCCATCCTCAACCTATCCACACGCTGCCGCGAGATGCCACAGAACCTGTCCACCAAGCCGCAAGACCTGTGTGCCACACGGGTACGCACACCTACCGGGCGGGCAGACGGGCCCTGTCCACCCCCGAGGTCACCCTGGCCCATCAGAACACAGGATAGAAGCTGAGCCGTCATCTCCCTGAGCGTCCCTTCTGGGTGACCACCCGGCTCAGGGAGCAGCTTTCCCGGGCACGGTCAGGAAGGGGCCAGGTGTCTGTGATGCTGCATGCAATGACCGTGTCCCTATAAGATCTAGGTGGACAAGAACGGACCATTTCTGTAAACAAAGGGGCCAGGACCCTGAAGACCCAGCATGCCTTGAACTTCCAAACACAGTTTGGCTATCATCTAAAAGTCAGGCCTGTCCCCTGGCTGTGCTCCCCGCAGGCCACCCAGAACAAGGGAGCAAGGAGACTGCAAACTCGGTTCTCCGGGGCTGGTCTTGCAGGTCAGCAGCTCGCATCAGTTCAGAAGCCAGTCTCTGTAGTGGTTTCCATACTCACTGCTTGTGCCCACCCCAGGAGAGCCGGTCAGATGGCAGCCGGGGACCTGCCTGGCACAGCCACGAGGTGCTGGGACGCAGGCGGTGCTCTCAGGGGACCTGTGAGCAGGCAGGGTGGTTGTGCCTCCTCAGAGCCTGGCCTGGAGCTGCTCGTGGGCGGGCACACGGCCTCACACCTGACAGCAGTTCTGAATGAGGGAGAGAGCCCAGCAAGTTCATGCACTTTTATTAGCATTTTTACTCTTAGGTTTTGGAAAAGGACCGCGGCACGCAGTGTCCGTGGTGACCGGGGCTGCTGAAAGGGAGGCAGCCATGGAGGGTTCTACAATGAAAAAGGAAGAGACTGTCACCCCCATCTGCTGACTCTATTACAATTAATCTCAGACTAAGAGCACTGAATGCGGCACCATGAAGGCGAAGGCAGGATGAGGGCACATGATAAAGAGCTGAGGCAGAATAACGCTCTGAATTTATCCCGGAGCAGCGAGGCGGCCCTTATTCCCGGCCCCTCCCTCTGCAGTGAGTCAGGGCTGTCCCTCTCCCTGGCTCTCTGTTAGGCATTCCTCCCTCTCCGGATTCCCTCCCTCTCCCCTTCACACGCCCTTCCTTCTCCCTCTGGAGGGCTCAGCTCTGAAGAACTCTTGATCTGTTTCAAAGCATCCTTTAAAAAGGAGCTCACCCTGGCCCTCTTTGTTACCAGATGACTGCATTGCAGGGTTGCTGGACGCAGAGCAGCTGGGCCCAGTCACAGCCGCAGGCGCTCTGAGCAGCTGGAAGCCTCTGCCTCTGGGCTTTGGGTTAGAAAGTGAATTCCCACCTTCTCCTCTCCCCTCCCACTCTTGTTTTCTCCCGCTCCGAGGCTTGAACTATACAGCAGCAGTAGTACCAAAGGAGAATGTTTAAGTTTATATAATTCTAATGATAAGTATGTATTCCATACACATTGTAATTCTGATCGCTTAATAGGTATTTGAAGTGGAATGGAATGGAAATTAGGCACGTATTTGATATTTCCAGAAGCAGAGATGTACTGGCAGAAAGGAAGATGTAGATAGATAATAGGAGTGATCAATAGAAGACAAGGGTAGGTAAATAAGTGATAGACCAATAGATGATAGATGGGTACATAGAAGGGGGGATGGAGGGTGAATATATGGATGGACAGGAGAGTGGGCGCAGGCGTGCGTGGGAGCCTGGGCAGCGGGAAGGATGGAGGACCCCCATCAGCTCCCTCGCCTGGGGCGTATGGTCGTGGGGTGGTGAGCAGTTTCTCCGGTGCTTCTGTGCTGGCTGGAGGCGGGCTGCCGTCCGGAGGGAACCGTGCGGTGACCTGTCTTTCTGCCCACAGAACCCTGACATGGAGGTGGACGAGAACGGCACGCTGGACCTGAGCATGAACAAGCAGAGGCCGCGGGAGGGCTGCTGCCCGATCCTGACTCCGCTGGAGCCCATGTCCCCGCAGCAGCAGGCCGTGATGAGCAGCCGGTGCTTCCCGCTGGGCGAGGGGGACTGCTGGGACCTGCCCGTGGACTACACCAAGATGAAGCCCCGAAGGGTCGATGAGGACGACTCCAAGGAGATCACTGTAGGTCCCCCCGAGCCCCGCCCCCAGCCCTCTGTGTGCTGGGAGGAGTGGGCTGCTCCTCTCTCCCGGGCCTGTAGCTAGGGAGGCCCCAGCACAGGCCTTGTTGACTCAGGAAGGACGTGTGACCAACATGGATTTGCTGAAACAACTGAGCTTCTAAGTGATGACTTGTATTCTGAACAGAGTGTTTTCTTACAAGCAGTTCTCTGGGAAAATAAGTCAGCAGCATTGCCAGCCACCTCTGGGGTGACCCCCTGTGTCTCACCGCACAGGCGCCTTGTGCACTTGCTCTGGAGCCAAGGGCAGGGTCTGCTCACCGAGGACCTGGAGCTCAGAGCAGGCCCAGCCTTGGGGCCATGGAGCTCCGTCACCTACTCCTTTAACATGTGTTACCAAAACACCTCTCTCAAGAGCCTGTGTTTAAAGTCGTTAACAATTTTCAAATTCAGCTTATTAAAATAATAACTCCTTAGACTGAAGAAAGAGATGAGGAAAAACTTGTTTTTTACTGGCCTGACCTTTTTCTCTAGTGTTTAATCCTGAAAGTTAAAACCTTTTTCTCTATTCACTGAAAAATGAGCATTTTTTAATGCAGTGGGAAGACCACATCAAAGCAATAGCATCTTCTAGAAACAGGAGGTGGAGGAAAAGGAAACATTGGCTATTGAGGGAAAGACGTCTTCCTATAGGCCTTTCCCCTCAAAGCCTCTTGTTCTTACTCTTCGATGACTGAGCGCCGTGACTGGGCAGAGGGAGAGCTGAGTCCCAGAGCTGTCCTCCCCTCAGTGTTAGGTCATTAGGGCCGCAGAGGCGTGGCACTGGAGCTTCAGACGTATCCTCACTAACATGAAGCCCCCTGAGTGGGCAGGAGTATCGCATGGTGCACACTACCGGCCTGAAGGGAAAGCACCTCCTGTTCAGGAGATGTCTGCTTAGCAGTGCCACTGTAGGGGTGTCTTGGTCATGACACTTGGACCCACTTCCTATAAAACAAAAAATGCTGAGAAGGATTTAAAGCTGCCACCTCTGAGGTGGGTTCCCTTGCCGCCAGGCTGAGGCCCAGGGAGAGGGAGGGGACAGTGGTTACTGAAACCACCAGAAGCAAAGCGTGCAGGCAGCAATGGGATGGAGCGGCCTGTGGAGCAGGCACCCCGCTCCCTCCCTCCCTCGTGTCGGTGGGACGCTGGGTGAGGGTGTCCCTGGGGCCAGACCACTCCTGTCCCTCTTGTGCATAAGGCCCTGCCAGTGACGAGCCCCAGAATTCCTGACGTCTAGAGCAGAGGAGATACTAGGGACCAGCCCCAAAGGGAGACTGAACAAACTTCCATTTGCACGTTCAGAAGGGAAGGAGGCATGGCGATTGTAAAGGCAAAGTCAGGAGGGGAAATGAGAGGCAGCGCCCACGGGAGGGGCCTCTGTGCACTGAGGCGCCCTCGGGGTGGCTGACGCTGTGTTTCGCCTGCAGCCGGAGGACCTGGACCCCTTCCAGGACGCTCTGGAGGACAGAAGGTACCCGGGGGAGGTGACCATCCCGAGCCCCAAGCCCAAGTACCCGCCGTGCAAGGAGGGCAAGAAGGACCTGATAACGTAAGCCTGGCGCGGCCCCCTCCCCGCCCCTCGCGGCTGCTATGAGCCGGCCTGTGCGTGCCTTGTCGTGAGCATGCGACATCCGCAGCGTGTAGAGGTCCCCGCTGCCAGGCAGCAGGGCGACTGCCACGTGGCCTCGCGTGTGTCCCCTCGCGTGTGTCTCTGGGCCGCGGAGCCGCTATCCTCATCCAACCGCGCATCCGCAGCCTCTCCGGGCGCTGAATCCCTGCACACATTGCAGCTAAACTGGAAACAATGAAACTTTTTACAAGCTTTTCAAACATACTTACTCTTTTGGCTGTTTTTGTTTTTGTTTGGTGGCAGATGTCCAACACCCAGGTGTGATGGGAGTGGTCATGTGACTGGTAATTACGCCTCACATAGAAGGTGTGCCTTCATTTTCCTCATGGTGGATTCTGTCTTCTCGATTTATTGTTTTCAGCTTACCTCAACAATGCTGTCCAAGCTCCACGTCGCCTGTGTGCCCGCGTGCTCTATGTTGACCGGCACAGAGTGCCGAGGGGGTGTGCAGTGTGCCTCATTGGGAAATGAGCCTCCTAAATTGGGAAATGCTTTACGTCATCTTTTTAGAAGTGATTTAACAGACCTCTGTTCTTAAATTCACATGCCGAGTTAATTATAAAAAGTCAACATACAGCACTTGCCCCATCGCTTTTCTGCATTAAACTTTAATTTCAATTTTGTGTGTGTTTGTTCGGAGCGCCAGCTGGTGGAGGCTACTCACGGACTCTCTGGCCTGTCTTACAGTCTGTCGGGCTGCCCGCTGGCTGACAAGAGCATCCGGAGCATGCTGGCCACCAGCTCGCAGGAACTCAAGTAAGACTGACGGGCATCATCCTCCTCTCACAGCCTGCCCCTGAGCGGGAGCGGGAAGGAGGTGTCGTCTGAAAAGAAAATGTCTCTGGAAGCCACGTGCACAGCCGCGCACGCCTGGGTCCTCGGGATGGTAGCCCCTCCCGACAGCTCCCCTGCTTCCCCCTCTCCTGTGCCTCCAGTTCCTTCCCAGCAGATCCTTTCTGTCTTGACTTTCCCCAAGCACAGTGCTTTCTCCGGGGTGCGTGCAGAGGGAAGGGAGGTTCTGTAGTTTGTCAGGCTTTTAAGAAAAGATCATAACCTAAAAGTCAAAAATGGATGAGTTGAGAGTCGGTAGTTAATGTGATTACCGAGCACTTGGTCGTTCCTGTCACGGCGACAGGAAGCTACAGGGGCAGCTGACCCCTCAGGTTGCAGTGATCAGGGCTCCCAGCACTCAGGACAGCAGTAGCGCACGGCTCCTGGTGTGTGTGCTCAGGCCTTCACACACGCATCCCTCTAGCTGCTGCGTCTCCGGCTCCTCTGTGTCTGAGATTTTTCTATATTTTAAACGTAAATCTGGTCTCTGGCACTTATGCCTCCTTCAGTGCACACACGTGATGAGCCGTGTCCAGTTCCCGGCAGGCTGTGGAAGAGATGGGTGCGGGGTCCAGGCAGGGCACCCCGCGACGGGGCTCCGGCTGGAGTGAACGGGGTGAGCCTGAGGAAAACAACAGCTCCCCAGCACGACGAGAAAAGGGCCATGTGGCCATCCGGCCGCGTTGCTTGGCTGCTCCTCGCTAGGAAATGGCACTGTGACCCGTTAGAGACGGTGCTGTGTGCAGACCCTGGTGATTCCTCCCCAAGACCCGAGCCCACGCCCGTGCTGCTGCGCCAACCAGGCTGCCGGGTGCGGGCCCGGTCACTCTGTCCTTTCTTACAGGACCCCTGTCCCGGGCCCTAGAGCCGTAGACCACCTGCTCATGTTCAGTGACCTCCTGAACTAGCCTCCCGGCACCAGCCCGTGGAGTCTTCTTCATGGTGTGTGAACAGCAGAGGGCGCCCTCTTCCCAGCGGCCATAAAGCCATAGCATCCTCCGGTGCCTCGAGGACAGATAGCGCTCAGAGCCTCCCAGTGGATAGGATTAGCAAGAACAGCATCTCTTTTCAGAACTTGCAGCCATGCTTCTCTCCCGGCCAGGACGTGGTCCCTGCCCCCGGACCTTCGCCAGCGCCTCAGAAGGCACTTCCCTTTGGCCCTGGGATGAGGACTCTGGGCAGAAGTCTGGCCCGGCTCCTGCCCCACGAGCCGGCTGTGCCCGGGAAGGTGGCTTTCCACGCTCACACCTAATGTGGCATCTAGTCTGGGTGCCTCGTGACCCCGGAGGCCCGAGTAGCTTCCTGCAGGTCTGTTAGCATTGGTTTGCATCCCTTGACTGTGGGCTTAGAAGTTTCTGCGGATCTGAAGCTCCAGGCCGCCTGCCTCCTCCTGTTTCATCTTGGAAGATGGCGTCCTCGCCATCAGCATCTTCGGAGGGAGGCGGCTGCCCTTCCCTTGTCCGCTTCTTCCCCGAGGGCCCGCCATCCAGAAGGGCTGCCTTCTCCTCATCCCCGGCTGATCTAAAAGCCACACTCACTTCTAGACGCGTCATTGTAACCAGTCCCTCTCGTGTGAGTGCCTCTTTCTGTTTATCGTGGGCCTCCGGTTAAATGTGCACAATAAAGCCTAATGCCGAAGTAAGCAGGTCTCTCTTGTCTTTGCCAGCTGCCCGTAGGGTCGTGGTTTCCTTTCCCCTTTGCACTGTGAGTCTCCCGTCCTCTGCTCTTACCTGCGTCACAGGCTGCTGTCCGTCCCGGAGGTCACGCAGCTCCCTAGAGAGGTCAAGCCTGGCTCTGGTCAGAGCATCTTCTCCACACGCGTTCTCAGAGCTGCTTCCCTGGTGGAGAGCATGGCCGGCGCGGCCCATGGTGCAGCGGCTCCCGCGTCTCGTCTGAGAAAGTGGGGCCCAGCTTCCTCCAGAGAACATCCCCATGTGCACCTGCTGAGATGGGATTTCCTGGAAATGTTCCTCTTGTCACTTCCAACACTGGCTTTAAGCTACCTGGCACTAACAGGACTCTGCATCATGGACCGACAACTTCTGCCAGATAAACTTTGAGTCTTGGGTCCTCAAACCCCTTAAACACCCCAAGAAGTCACCTATCTCAGTGCTTACCCGAAGCCATACATCTGGAATTCTGGAAAAGAAGTTGGTAATGGCATGTCTGATTCTGTACAACACGTGGACCGTGCACATCAGAATGTGACGGGCCGTGAGGGCCATTGGCGTCGGGAGCCACTGCCCTCCTGCCCTGGTCTGTCCCCCAGGGGAAGCCCAGGCCAGTGGCTCAGGGAGGAGGCACAGCCCAGGGAAGCAGGAAGCAGGCGAGGGTCACGCAGGCCAGGAATCCCCGAGGCTGGAGACCAGCCCCCCACCCACTGGGGGTGCTGACATGTGCTCCTCACGCCGCCTCCCAGCTGTGACGTCCAACCCTGCAGTTCACCAGACCCCAGACATCCCAAAAATAGAACTGTTCCAACTAGGGGATGATAAAAATGTGCTTAACGTGAGCTCTGATCTGAAGGAATTTTCTTCTCTTACAACTTCACCCGCTCAGATCACCTGAGAGTCCTGACAGGAAAACGTGCAGATCACATGACATCACTGTCAGCCTCTTTCTAAAAACACGTGCCCTCCCGCCAGTTCCCCTCTTCCTTCCAGATGCACCAGCACCTGCAGGTGTGGGCGAGACGCAGGGTCTCAGCCATCTTTCCCTCCGTGATCAGCTTGAGCCGAATCAGACTGATTCCACCAGCTCTCACACGGGCTCCTGGCTCTGGTCTGAGGGTGCAGCGGCCCGAGGCCACTCTGGGGCGGCTGCCGGCCGGAAGGTCATTTCGGTCACTGCTGTTGGTCACCTCCTCGGTGGTGGGCTGTTGGTGCTCTGCCCTTTAGAAAGCTCTCTCCCGTGTCCTGTGCCTCCTGGGCACCTGTCCTCAGTGTCTTTAGCTTCGACACAGAGGAAGGTCAGCCCCATGTACCGCACACCTTTCCACAAACCTGGTGACATCTGTTTTAAAGCAAACTTTAGAAATTAGAATTGTGTACGTAGGCCAAGGTTCTGCCTTCCTCTAAAGGCTGCTTGCCCGAGGGTTTCCAGACTCGTTTCTCCGCTGCACGTGCAGCACGGGCTGAGGATGATGGCCGGCAGGGACCTCGTGGCTTCGCTCCTCTCGGCTCCTGTTGCTCCGGCGCAGGAGCCGCCGCTGTAACTGTGCGCTGATCCTTAGACACACCCCCTCCTGTCGCCTTGCTTCACGGTTGACAGCAGTGAATCCACAGAACCTTGCGAATGACAACTGCCCGAGTCCCATTTCTCTAGCAGACGCGCCTTTTGTTGCCGGTCCGGCCTTCACACCGAGTGGGGTGTGGATGGCACTTGCTCTTCCATTTTATACAGTCCCCCATGGACCTCTTGCTTCTGTGAGAAAAACCATTCTGTTCCGCCACTGGATGGCTAGCCTGGGAATGCCTGGTCCTCCTCCTTCTAGCTGTTGAGTGGGAGTCCCCACCTTTCCTGGGCGGAGCCCGTGGCCTGGGTGGACCTGGCGCCCTCTTCCCACAGCTCTGCTGGACGGAGACGGCTCTGAGTGGAGCCGCTGCTCTAGTAACGTGGGCCTTGGCTAATAAATCGGAGGTTTCATTCCAGTAAGCACGTCACCACTTTACAGCTCCCTGGAGCAGAGCGAGTGGAATTGGGAACAAAGTAGACGTTCCCTTTGGGAAATGACTGACAGGGAGCTTGGAGGCATTTTTCCTGGCAGCTTCAGGGTGAGAACCATTCTCTCCGGGTTTCTTCCCTGATGGGAAAACGCAAGGACTGAAGGGCTGTGTGAGGGCGTGAGGGCCTGGGGGCCGGGCGGTGGGAGGCTGGGAACATTGATTCCAGCGTGGCCGCAAGTCGTATCCCGTCGGCACTGCTTCGTGGCGGGTGTGCTGCAGAAAGGGTCTTTGTCTGGCACGGAGACCTCTGCTCAGCCATCCACACCCAGAGTCCAGGGCCCGGGGGCTGGCTGCTTCCCTGCCCCGATCAGGGCTGTGACTGCCAACCTTCACGCGAGGAGAGCACTGTGCGCGCGTGAGCAGGTGGTGGGCCCACGCATCCCTGACGTTTCTAAGAACGCGTTCAGTGCAGGTGCTTCCTGCGAATCAGAACCCAGTGTAACTGGCGTTGGGAGGGGTCTGCGCTGTCCCACCTGGGGGAGGCCCACCTCACACCTGCACACACATACCCCTGCCCCCCGCAAGCCAGAGCCGGAGCCGCAGCCATGTGGCTCCTGGGCTCCTGGGCGGGGCCCCTGTGGCTGAGGAACTGAATTTCCAATTATACTTTGTTTTATCAGTTCACATTTCACAGGCTTATATATGGAGTCAGCACCTGTATCGTCCCACCTGGAGCCTCAGACCTCACTCCTATTGCATTTGCCACAGTCTGGTTCCCATTCAGGAATATTATTTCTACAGCTAGAAAGTGGATGGGTTTTTAGCATCTGGCCTTCAATGCTTCTGTCACATCACTGAACCACTGACAGAGAATCCTTTCCTATTGACACGGACATATGTTTCATTTAATGCCGTGGTAGCAAGCATAGGGCGTGGAAACGGCAAGATCCGTTAGCGGAACGCCCCGGGTTATTTTCGAAGAATCCAATCTGTGGCTTTCAGGCTGCTCAGGATTCACATTTGGTCAAGAAGGGTCCCCCTGGCGCTCAGGAGCCTGGCTGGGGGCTGTGCGTTGGGAGGCTGGCTCCCGTGTCCCTCCCGCCCCGCCCTGCCCCGCCCCTCTGTGGGGCTCAGCGCTGTTTTAACCGGGCCCAGGTCCCCTGAGCCCAGCACCGAGGTGGAAAGGCGACTCTCACCCACTGGGCTCCCGTCCTTGGTTTCGTTTCTCGTAGCCAAGGACTGATCAGACTTTCTTACACT